TACTACTACTGCTGCTACTGTAACTACTACTACTACTACTACTACTACTACTACTACTACAAATATTACTACTACTGTTACTACTTTTACTACTACTGCTACTACTGCTGCTGCTACTGCGACTTCAACTAGTACTACTACTGTTACAACTATGACTACTGCTGCTACTGCTACTAATAGACCTTCTACTATTTCTGCTAGGACTACTACTATTACTACAACTACAACTACTACTACTTCTACAATTACAATTACAATTATTACTACTACTACTACTACTACTACTATGGCTATGAATAGAATAAACTTCGGGTAATCTCTACAAACAGTTCCTCCAGTATAAATGGCAACAGTTTTGTAAAACATGTTTCCTATTTCTATGTTAATTCCACGTACACTCTTTAATCTTTTCTTTTGAGATAAAATTTGGAAGACTCGCACACTCCTCTCGGTCCACTACCACTGCCCCATCTGCAACGCCAAACTCCAAACTCCACTTTTTAAGAGTCTCATTTCAGCTGGTAAACACTGGCTTCTATCTGCTGGTCCTTGCTTGCCTTCTATTAAACGCTTTCAAAGTCTATAGGGGCCCCGCTTTCTCTGCGATGGCGAACAAATGCAACCCGGCTCCGAAGCGCTGATAGTGGCTGATAGGGGCCAATGGGACCCCGTGGAGAACACAGCAACAGCGAGCAACGTTGCATAATGAATAGACTTGGACTGTCACGGCTAACTGTGATCTGCAGTGTTGTGTCAGCTCCCATGCATGTTTACAGTTAACTATGCAAATATGGTAATGTAGGACAAATAGGCCTAAGGGGATAGAGATGGAGAGATAGAAGAAAGAATTATATGCTTAGCGCTGGGAAATGCAGGGAGAGGGAGAAGGAGAAGAAGGGAGGAGGCAAGAAGGTGGGGTAGAATTTGATTGACAGCTGCTTGAGTGGTAATAAAGCGTCAATATTCTGCCTATAATGGTATTTTCTGATCTGTGTTATAATGTTGTTTCCTCATTAAAAACATATGAGGATTATTATTATTTTCTAATTCACACTAACTCTGCATATTTGCTAATCTGTTTCATCTTGCGTTGTCATGTGGTAATACAGGAAGTGCTCCACTGTGTTTTTAAAGTCCATATACCAGAAGAGGGGGCTCCAATCTGTCGCTCGGGAGAATAACAGTAGCTCTCCACCCCCTTCCAAGTAGCTAGCCAAGGGATATTCGAATTATACCACTGTGCTGAATAACAAAAACATTGTTAATTATTAGGGATGTAAAGATATCCAAATCTCTCGGTACAATATTATCATGATATGCATCTCACAGTGCGATATTTATTGTGATATTCTGGAGAGGCTGATATAATTGTAGATAGGACACATTTCTGCTTTTAAAATGACAAGATTTTGGTGTGAATTATTTCTGTCATAATCTCAAGAATTCAAGTAAAAAAAATATCTCTTCATGTTGTTTGCACTGAAAAGAATCATGGGAGGCAGTTCCCTATGTTTATAAGCTGTTACTGTAAAACCATTTATTTAAGCAAAGGAACTTGATTCGATATATTGTGACAGCTTCTTGTGAGACTTTTGTTACATCCCTATTAATTATGAACTTTGTGAATGTATCATTATGAAGCCCAACTTTGTGCACTAATAACTGGACGATTGTTCATGATTTAGAGGCATCTAACTGTACCCAAAGGCTTGCCCTCTTTCTTATAATCATCTCAATTTCTTGTGGCCGCTAAAATGCTGTCTGGCATCTTTGTTTTGTAAAGGTAGCTCACCGGTGGAAAAAGTTTGGAGACCCCTGCACTAGAATGACTTTTTGCTCTTAAATTGCCAATCTCGACTGAATTTAAGCAAAAGGTAGCTGTTAACAAAGGTGGGACCAAGTCGTTGTTTTGCAAGTCTCAAGTAAGTCTCAAGTCTTTGAACTCAAGTCGGAGTCAAGACCCAAGTCAAAGACAGGCAAGTCCCAGTCGAGTCCCGAGTCACTGGCCAATAAGTCCAAATCAAATCCAAGTCATCTGCTTTGAGCTTCAAGTCATTTCAAGCCTTTAAACCAAAGAACCAAATGTAGCTTACATTTTTGCAATTTATATGAATTTTAAACTAAATTGTGCTTAAAAAGTCAAGGTATATTTATATATGAACATTTATGAGTATATAAGGGTTGTAAAAAAAAAATATTTAGTTCATTTTTCCTTTTTAAATGCCTTGACAAGATCTTATAGTTAATCATGATGGTCAGAATAGAAAGAATTCAGATTTATAAGTGCTTCTCAACTCACAGGCCTCAAGTCCGAGTGAAGTCCCAAGTCACTGACCTTCAAGTTCAAGTCAAGTCCCAAGTCTTAGTCAGTTTTATCAAGTCAAGTCTCAGGTCCTAAAAATAGTGACTCAAGTCCGACTTGAGTCCAACCCACAACTCTGACTGTTAACATCACAAGGTGGAACAAAGCGTTAAGAGTTTTGAAGATGTAGCCAGACTAATAAAGCAAGGTTACTGTGAACAAAACAAAACACAACTCTGGGTATGTTTTTGATGAGATAACACCATTATACCATGGCTTAAAGCTCACAAGAGTCCGTTTAGTGTAATATAAAACCTTTAACATACAGTAGGAGTGAGAGAAGGGCCAAAGTGGGAGGGGCTAAGTTCAACAGCAGGTACACAGACCCTTTAAAACTACACAAAGCCGTCGCTCTTTAATTGACTTCACACTGAGTCGTACACGAGAGCTTTCAGTCCATCTCGAGCCCAGTGTCCTGCCCTGTGTTGTAACACTTGACTAGGACTGGGAGATCTGCCATTAATCTCTTCACCACAGGCGCCATATTGCCTCGTACGCTCTTTCTCTCCTCTACTTTCTATCTGTCTCCCTCTCTCCTCTCTCTTCTGTGTCTACTGGCTGTGTTATTTTCCAATAACTCTCTCTCTCTTTCACCTCTTCTCTATCTGTCTCTTGCTCCTCTCTGTTTCTCTTTGCCTCTTTCCCATTTCTCCTCCTTCCTCTTTCTCTTTTCTTTTTTCCCCTTTCCACAGTCTCTCTCTCTCTCTCCTTCCCTCTCTATCAGTCTCCTGGTCTTTTCCTGGTCTCTCTCTCCCAACACCAACTCTCTCCATCTTCCTCCCTATTGTTCTCTTTCCCTTGTCCCTCTTCCCTTGTCTTTCTTCTGTCTCTCGATCCCTGTATATTCTAGTCATCCCTTCCCTACCTTTCTATCTGTCTCTCCTTCTCTCTCTCATCCTCCAATCTTCTCCCCTTCTCGCTCTACTTCCCCTCTCCTTTCTTCCGCCTCTCTCTGTCTATCTGTCTGCCATCCCTCTCCATCTCACCATCTCCTTCTCTATCCCTCTCTCACCCTCCTTATCTTTTTCTCTCCCCTTTGTCCTCCCTCTATGTCTCTCCTTCTCTCTCTTCTCCCTTTCCTCTATAATTCTTCTTCTCCCCTCTCTCTCTCTTTCTTCTCTCTCTCTTGCTCTGTGTATCTTCTATTCATCCCCCTCCCTACCTCTCTATCTGTTTCTCCTTCTCTCTCTTATCCTCCAGTCGTCTCTCCTTCTCACCCCACTTCCCCTTTCCTTCCCTCTCTTCCCCTTGGCCTCTCTCTGTCTCTGTCTCTTTATCCCCCATCCCTCTCTCACTTTCCTTCTCTTGGCCCTTCCTGTCTATCTGTCTCTCCTTCTCTCTCTCCCATCCCTCTCCATCTCTCACTCTCCTTCTCTCGCTCTCTCCTCCCCTTCGTCCTCCCTCTCTGTCTCTCCTTGTCTCTCTTCTCCCATCGTCTTTGTCTCTAATTCTTCTTCTCCCCTCTCTCTCTCACTCTTTCTTCTCTCTCTCTTGCTATCCGTATCTTCTATTCACAACCTGTACCTTTCTATCTGTCTCTCCTTCTTTCTCTCACACTCCATTATTCTCCCTTTCTCACGCTACTTCCCCTCTCCTTACCTCTCTCCCCTTATGCTCTTTCTCTGTCTCTTTATCTTCCCTCGCTCTCCCTCCCTCCTTCTCTCTCTCTCCCTATTCCTCTGTTCCCCTCTCACTTTCCTTCCCCTCGCTGTCTCTCCTTCTCTCTCTTCACCCATACCCTGTCTCTCTGTCATTCTTCTTCTTGTTCTATCCATCCCTCCCTTCTTCTACCTCTCTCTCTGTGGTCCCACCCTCAACCTCACTCTTTCTTGGTATTTCTTCTCTCTCTCGCTCCCCGTATCTTCTATTCACCCCCTTCCTACTTCTCTATCTGTGTGTCCGTCTTCTCTCTCTCACCCTCCAATCTTCTCCCCTTCTCACTCTCCTCCTATCTCTCTATTCCTCCATCCCCCTCTCACTTTCCTTCCCCTCGCCCTCCCTTTCGGTCTGTCTCTCTTATCTCTCCCCCATCCCTCTCCATTTCTCACTCTCTCTTCCCTCATCCTAATTTTCAGTCTCTCCTTCTCTATCTTACCCTTTCTCTCTGTCATTCTTCATCTTGCTCTCGCTCTCCCTCTCTATACCTCCCTCCATCCTTCCGTCCCTCTACCTCTCTCTCTGTGAACCCACCCTCAGTCTCTCTCTTTCTCTGTCATTCTTCTCTCTTTCACACGCTGTATTTTCTATTCACCCCCTCCTACTTCTCTATCTGTCTCTCCTTCTCTCTCTCACCCTCCAATCTTCTCCCCTTCTCACTCTACTTCCGTCTCCCCCCCCACTCCTCTCTCTCTGTCTCTTTAGTCTCTTTATCCCCCATCCCCCTCTCACTTTCCTTCGCCTCGCCCTCCCTGTCTCTCCTTCTCTCACCCTCATTCTCCCCTCTCTCCTCATCCTTCCTCTCTATCTCTCCTTCTCTCTCTTCTCCCATACCCTTTCCCTCTGTCATTCTTCTTCCCTCCCTCCCTCCTCCCCTCCCTCCCTCCCTCTCTCCCTGACCCAGTACCGCGAGCGCTCGGGGCCCGCACAGCCTCATTTGTCTCCATCACCCGGAGTCCGCGGCCCCTTCGTCACAACTCACCAAAGCGCAGTAGGTTTCGGGCGGATCTCCACACGTGATGTTGGGCGGGTCGAGGGTCACGCGCAGGTACTTTGTCATGTCCGTGGCTTCGGGCTGGCATGCCATGTAGTCCCAGGCCAGTCCCTCCTCCGTGTAGATCTGGGACTTGCACACGTCGTAATGGCCCCAGCCCGACGGGTAGTGCTGCATGGCGTACGCGAGGCTAACGCCGGCGGCCTGCAGCGCCAACGCCAAGAGCCAAAGCATTGCCGATCGCATTCTCGGTGCGCGGTTTGAGATTTGTTGATGATCTGGAGTCACAGTTGATGGTCTAAAGCTGAGAACGTGGAGGCGGTGAGAGCATCTTGAAACTTCTCGGATCACATTCAGTTGTTTTGCGGTTTTTACTCCGTTTGCAAGTAAAATCTGGGGTCAAAGTTGGGAAAGTCAAGAGGTACTTCAGAAGTACTTTGTCAGTCTGTGGACATCAGAAATAAGAGTAGGATGGATCTTCAAATGTGTCTCTGGTCACAGGCAGCATCCTGAAAGACAAAAATGAATTGTTAAGTATGAGCTACTCTTCAAGATCAACAAACTATAGTAAAAATGACAAAAATGTGAAAGAACCTCTACTTGATTTCAAACAATGAGTGAGAAACATGCTTGGTTTGTTTAGTTTGAACTTTTAGCCCCAGCTTGGTCCTTTTTGAGCACCTGACCAGACGGAACCACATGCTTTAACAACATTTTACAAAGACGAGTGGATCTGGAGCCATTCCTGTCTCCATGATTTCAGAGGGTGTGATTGACAGATGGATTAACCAATAATTTCTCAATTCACGTCAAGAACAAATATGGCTACTTACAAAAGGAGGAAATATCTATATAAAGGACTGAGAAACAGTGCAGATTTTAACAGAAAGAACAATCAAAACACCAAACTATGACTTATAGAAGACTGATTTGGTTGAGATTTGGTTCTGAATATTATAAGAACTTTGGAGAGGAGATGTCTTCCGCATCAGAGAAACTCAAATAATATACAAATGAGCAGCTGTGATTGGACCGTCTCAAGTTTAGACAAAGTTTTTCACGCTCTATGGTCCAATTCTAGACCCTTCTGGATTCGAACAGAATGTGGAAGAGACAGGCAAACTTTCTGCCAGTGTGATCTTGCACCATGACACAGAAACAACTGTCATACAATTGTTTTCTTACTGTTCTCCAGTCTCTACCAACTTTTAGTTTTTTTTGTTTTATTGTCCCTCTTCAGAATGGACCATGCCAGAGAATCATGTATCTAGTTTCCCGTGATTTTTAGTAATAATGTGCATGACAAAAAGGTGAGCGTGTCAGTAGCTTCTGTATCAGTTATTGGCCTGAGAAAATGTTGTCTAAAATAAATAGATTATATTTTACTGCCTAATTTTGTTCTTATTTAGCAGCCTACACCAGACCATTCAATGTATGATCTGAAGAGCATTTATCTCCACAAAATAAATTAGATACAGACCCTTTAAGCATCCCATAATGCTGTGGTGATAACAAAGAGCTTTATTTTGCATACATTCAAACCAAAATTCATGGTTACATTCATTTTACTTGCATTTTTACATCTAAACCACTGACAACCATATTTGGAATAGAGCTGCTAAACTGGGTAGTACCTGGAGGACCAAAGAATGAGTGAGGGAGGAGGAGGGTGGGGTCTGGACAAATGAGGAACAGTGTGATTGGTCTAATATTTCAAACTCCGCTCCTGCAGCAACACCCGGATGTAACCAGGGCAGTCCTGTGTAATGTCACCAAGTACTTAAAACTGCAGCAGCCACTGGAGCACAATGATTTTTTTATATGTTTTTGACCAGAAATCTGTTAAAGTTTGAACTAGAATTGTAAAAAAAAAAAAAAAATGACTAGGAACAGCAGGCAATACTATTAGAACACCATATACACAGTTTGGCAGCAAAAATAAAGTTGATTTAGTGTTTAGTTTCACTTTAAGGCCATTCTATAGAACATTTATCACTAAGACAAGCAGGTGGTGGATCTTCTAGCAGAAAAGTTACACAATGCAATGTTCTTAAATAAATAAATCATAAATAAAACCATTTTTAGCTATGAATAATGTTTACAATAATTATTAAGAAATCCTAAGATCACGCCTATTCTATTTCAGATAACAGATTGCAACCAGTTCACTCTGCTCCACCTTGTGATGTCATGTGGTAACACAAAAAGTGCTCCACTGTGTTTTTAAACTCCATACAAGTTCAATAGATTGGATGATTTTAGCCCTGGATTTGCCAAACTCTAATGAACTAAAAATAAAAAGCAGATGTTAACTTGAATGAAACAAAACACAACTTCAGGTAATTTTTTGATGAGTAAACAACATTATAACATGACTCAAAGAATCCATTTAGTCTAATATAGCACCTTTCATTTTAATTCCATTTCATAAGAGTTTCGTTGTATGAAACCCACGATTTTGCACCATCCCTCCACAGCCTGTAGAGTCGCACTGGACCCTGCCGTCTTTAGGGACATTTGTGTGATATTAAAGTCAAATTGGAGGCACAAATGATGAGAGATCGGCTGGGTTTTCAGAGCTATCACAAGCTATCTGTCGTCCGGGCTAAGCTGTCAGGTAATAGTGGCCACAGTAGTCACCGGAGACCCACACCAACTCTGCATCTCAAATAAGAAGGAGACGAGGAGGGAGGAGAGACTCAAATGGAACTGCTATGTCCAACTAACACAGGAATAAAGATGTAATGAATAGACTTGTGCGTGCAGTGTTTGAAGAAATGGGAGGGGACGTAGAGCGAAATGGCCTTGTTTAGGTAAGAAAAGTGAGTGCGTTTGATACAGAAAGAGGTATTTACAATTTGAGATAGCAATATATCACCATTATCAGCTATATGAAGCACTCATATGTACTAGTATTGTAGACTATGGGTGTAACAATATCCAAGTCTCATGATATGATATCGTCACGGTCTGAACCTCACGGTACGATATTTATTGTGATATTGTGGGAAAGCTCACGATATGGTCAGTAAGCTTTTGATTAGGGATGTAACAATATCCACATCTCTCAGTACGATATTTTCACGATATACATCTCACGGTACAATATTTATTGTGATATTTTGTGGAGGCTAAACAGCTAAAACTGTTAATATGCTACTTTTTCCTCTTAAAATGCCTTGACAAGACTTAATCCAAAGAACTTAGAACTTAGAACTGTTATTTCTTCATGTTATCTACATTGAAATGGAACAGTGTTTTTTGTTTTTTTTTTTTGTTAGCAATTGCTGCAACTCTTAATTTAAGCACAGAGACTTGTAATTCGCCATATTGTGATGGTCCACGATATTATTGTGAGAACTTTAACGATACGATATTTCAGTTACTGTGTGAAAAATCCCTCAGTCGTCCAGGTAGAATCCATGGCAAAGGGGAAATTGAGTTTGCCGATTGGACAAAAGTTTATTTGGTTGAAATTCAGTTTGTCGACCAAATAAACTTTTGTCCAGTCAACAAACTGAATTTCTCCTTTGCCATTTCGGTTATTGTTGCATCCCTATTGTCGACTATCATTTAAAGGTTGTATGTTATACAAATTTGACTCTTGTGAGCTTTTAGCAATGTATGAATGTTGTTAGCTCATCAAAAATATACCAGAAGTTGTGTTTTGTTTCATTCACACATGTTTTACTAATCCTTTAATATTAGTCTGTTTACATCTAATCCCACAAGTAAACTGATGTAGACTACTGTTTTATTAATTTCAGTAATTCCAACTGTTCACTGAAATCTTGCATGTCTCTAGGCAGGGAAAAGAAGAACTCAAGGTAACAAAAATCAACTCTGAAATATACCCCAGCCAATTCTGCGTAAGGATGTAACAATAATATCGTGGGCTCTCACAATATATATCGAATTACAAGTTCCTTTACTTAAATGCATGATTTTATAGTAGCAATAGCTGATAAACATAGGGAACTACATATCCCATGATTCATTTCAGTGCAGCTATGAAGAAATATGTTTTTTACTTGAAATCTTGGGATTATGACAGTAATAATTCACATCAAAATCTTGTCAAGGTATTTTAAAAGCAAAAAACTACAATCATATATATAGCCTCTGCAAAATATCGCAATAAATATCGAACCGTGAGATGCGTATCGTGATAACTGAGAGATTTGGACATTGTTACATCCCTAATTCTATGATAACCATTTGAATTGAATTGTAGACAGTTTCCAGTGGGGGAAATATTAGATATTTGAAGCCGTCCTGAATTTCAATTGGAGTAGATTAAATGATTCTCAACCCTCTTTCTCACAAATGACTACTACGCTCTGCAATTTGATACCAAAATGTCTACAGGCTTGAATCCATCCGAAATTTATCTTTCTTGGGAGAAGTCTTGGCTTGCCTTGAAACATGCAAACGTCAATCAAGAATTCTAAGAAGAACACGAAGAAGACGAAGAGGCCAATTATGAATTCGCCACCACTTGCTTGTCTTCTTGGAGATGTTTTAGCTTTACCTGGAATGTTCCATGATGTGACTTTAAACTTATCCATCTAGCATTTATTCATTGCAGGTGTTTCTATTGCTCAAAAATACCATAATTATTTCTGTGAACAAATCTGAAGTGTAATGCTGCGTAATGCTGTAACCTGCTTGTCTCCCTTGTGATAGACAGGTTTAATTTATACTATGGAACATTCCAGACAAAGCAATAACATTTCCATGGAGACAAGCAGGTGGAGAACCCTCTACCGGAAAAAATATGCAGTGCACCTTAAAGTTCTGAATGTTGTATAAGCGTGTATCAAGTTATATACATTACCGCTCAAAAGTTTTAGGAAACACAAATTTTTCCAGTTTTTTTTACTGCAATTCAAGTTGTGCAAGTCTAATGAAAAGCTTTGAATGGTACAAAGGTAAGAACTGAACAGCCAGAGGTAAAAAAAAAAAAAAAAAAGATAAAAGAGAGAAAACACAAGTTCAAGCTCTACCAAAACTACCTCAGGAAAAAAAGAACAAGATGGTAAAGTTTAAAAACATGGAGTGTCCAGCACAGTCTCCAGACTTAAGACTGGTTTGGGATGAACTGGACAGAAGAGTGAAAGCCGAGAAACCTACAAGTGCCACACATTTATGATTTATGAGAACTTCTGCAACTTCTACAACGACTTGAGAAGAACTTTCTGAAGAATATTTGATTTCTATTGTTAAAAGAATGC